TGTTTTGAGAGAGAGGGAGTTGGAGCAGGGAAGGTGCAGAGGGAGGGGGAGAGAGAGAATCCCAAGCAGGCTCCGAAGCTGTCAGTGCAGAGCCTGATGCGGGGCTTGATCCCATGAACCCTGAGATCATGACCTGAGCTGAAATCACATGTCAGACACTTAACCAACTGAGCCAGCCAGGCGCCCCTGGGACTTTCACTTCTTACTTAAAAGCTTCCATGCTTGGGGCGCCTGGGTGGCGCAGTCCGTTAAGCGTCCAACTTCAGCCAGGTCACGATCTCGCGGTCTGTGAGTTCGAGCCCCGCGTCAGGCTCTGGGCTGATGGCTCAGAGCCTGGAGCCTGTTTCCGATTCTGTGTCTCCCTCTCTCTCTGCCCCTCCCCCGGTCATGCTCTGTCTCTCGCTGTCCCAAAAATAAAATAAAAACATTGAAAAAATAAAAATAAAAAAAAAAAAAAGCTTCCATGCTTGCTTGCTTCCTTCTTCTTTGTGTTAAAACAACCTATTACTTTACACATAAAACAATTTTAATATGGATGTACCTTGAGGACACAATGCTAAGTGAAATCAGTCAGTCCCCAAAAGGACAAATATTGTATGACGCTACTTATGTGAAGTATCTAGAGTATTCAAGTTCATAGAAACAGAAAGCGGAATGGCAAACGGGGTGGGGCGGGGAGGAGAAATTCAGAGTTGCCATTTAGCAGATTTTTTAAAGCTTTTTTTTTTTTTTACATTTACTTATTTTTGAGACACAGAGAGAGACAGAGTACCAGTGGGGGAGGGGCAGAGAGAGAGGGAGACACAGAATCTGAAGCAGGCTCCAGGCTGTCAGCAGAGCCCAACACAAGAGTCGAACTCACAAACCATGATGAGATCATGACCTGGCCATTTGGCATATTTTGAGTTTCGGACACGAAAGATAAGAAAGTTCTGAAGATGTTTTACGACAACATAAATGTACCTAACACTACCCAAATGGATAAGTGGTAAATCTTCTGTGGTTTTTGCCACAATGAAAAAAATTCCATAATCTTAAAAATTGGGGAAAGAAATCCAATTTTAAGTACCTGTTTTATTCTGCATTCAAGTCTAAGCCATATTTAAGTCTATGTGAAAACACAAGTTTGCCTTTTGTGGAAGTTCAACCGAATTTCCGTATTTGAGTACCTGTTTTAATTATTCATTCGTGTATGGTCTGTGGATTTTCCACCAATGCTGGGATATTAAAGTGTTGGGATTTCTTCCCCCAGCTAGAACTTAAAGAAAAATGGAGGCAGAAAGGAAGAGAGGGAGGAAGGAGGAAAGGGGGCGG